CTGGCAGCAGCTGCTCCCACAGCCGCCCGGGTGCAGGACCAGGAGGGGCAGCTCCAGCCCAGCCCTGCAGCCCAGGCAGACAAGCCTGGGCACCCCCAGCACGGAGCTGCAGCCACCAGCACTGCCCAGACCTGTCTGTACCAGGAGGCTGAGCTGGCTTCTCATCTGCCAGGAAAAGGTTTTGCTCCTGGGGTCACCCTTGGGTGAAACTTGCAGCTCCTTTGTTTTTTCTTTAGTGTCATCCACCTCTGTAGGCTGGAGCTGCACTTAGTTTTGAAGGTCTACCAGGTGCAAGATCTCTAAGCTGACTGGTTTTTATGTGGAGCATTTATGCTTCAAAGCTTGGTTAAAGTCAGACTAAAGGAACACTGCAGAGGGTTAATGGGGAAAAACTTCCTTGTGCCATTCATGACTCTTCTGTTTGCAGGACGTCAGGAAAACAAACAACCTCCCAAAACGTGATGTCTGGGTAAAGCAGACTGGAGACACCCCTGGAGACACAAAGGTAGACATGGAAGTTGGTGCATCCTCTGAGCTGGGGGCAGAGCAGGCACCTGCCCATGGTGCATCTGCCATGGGGCAGGTGTGGGAGAACCAGGCTATGAGGGGACAGGGCTTACGTGGGACATCCAGAACCCCATGACTTAGGGGACTCAGCAGGAGGGGGGCAACTGCAGGCAGCTGCAAGGGTGAGCAGGGTCTGGTCTGTGAGGAGAAATGGCATGTGGTGGGATTTAGAGGATGCCAAGCATGTCCCATGCCATGTTTGGGACAAGAAAGGTTAAAGTAGCCCCTTTGGAGTTTTGCAGCATCAGGCCCAGCCTCACTGTTTCTCACTTTCTTTTCCAGTTGCAATAATATCAGATATAATATCAGATGACCTGGGAAAAACTGTTTGCTCTGAAGATCAAAGCCCAGCCCTACCCAACCATCCAGCAGCCCCTGCCACGAGAGGCCTCTGAGCCACCTGCAGGTGCACCCCAGGTCGCCAGGGTCTTCTGCTTGTAGGATGCAAAGGAAGAAGGTTGGAAGATTATCCCTGTCCCCCCAGTCCTCACCTGCTGCCTGCCTGGGACTGCCCAGCCTGGAAACTCCTCACAAATGTTGCAGGCAGACTCCTGCCTCCTTTCCCCAAAATCTTTTGGCCTTTTGCTCCCAGCCTCTGGCTGTGCCCATAACTGCTCGCACAGAGGACCAGCCTGGACGTCTCCTTTGCAGCTGGATTGTGACCAGAATCCAAGGGCCAGGAGCTGCCTGGCCAAGGGAGTCTCAGCTGCATGTCCAGGGGCCGTGTCCC